ACCATTTTCCCATTTTCAAGGTAGACTGAAAGTAGCAGTTTGCCTCTAGCAAAGCAGAATATTAAAATAATTTGTCCTTTCAAACTAAAAGAAATGGTCAATAATAATACAAATCTTTCCTGCTTTCAGTAACGGGTCAGAAACCTATTCTTTCTCCATTGTCTTTTCTAGTTATCACTCTGACACAAAGTAGTCCCAAAACTAATGATAAGCCTCAATACGTTTCTGGAAAGACTGACCTAGAGTATTCGCTCATCTACTCAGGAGCAGGTAATCACGTGAAACCTTTATATTGCTGGCCTTGAGTGGAAATTACAAATGCCAGTGACTCAGCTTTAAAAATGCTATTCCCTCTATAGAGATGGTAAATGTTTGTATACTGACGAGTTTTTACTCTTCCACGCCTCTTTAACATTGGGTTAAAACTTTTATGTACACTTCCAGAAGCATCCATTCTGAAGGACTAGGCTAGCAAGTTAGGATGACTAACTGTAGGGCATAGTCCACTACATTTCTGGTGATAAAACATTTCCTGATAGTGTTGCTCTTTGAACACTAAGAAATAGGACAATCCTTACAATGCGGCCTCAACATTTGACTACCATAAGACATACCTTTTTCAGCCCTACTATTGCCTTACTCAGTGTACAGTTTAGTGTGCCAGTTTTTGTCCACTTATGAAATAGTGAACTATGGAGAAAACTAAGCAAAAGATAATGCCTGTAATTGCTCTGGGTGCACTGCAGAGGTGGGCTTCATTCTTGTTTGGTCAGGAAGTCAGAAGAATCTCCATCTATAACAGGCAGGATTACCTGTGTGACATTCTACTCTGGCAAGTTTTGAGACAAATTAACTGAGACAAATGTTACTGTCCCGCTTATTAAAAAAAGAGGTATTTAAGCACTTCTGTCCTTTCCAGCAACCCTATTCACTTGTATGCCAAGCACTTTAGAAACTGCAATCACACATCATGGGCATCACATGCAGTGTGTGTCCTTACAAAACCTCCTTTTATATCCCACTTCACAAATGAGAAAGCTGTATCAGTGAAATGTCTGGTGTCAGAAAACTAAATAATAATCAAGTTCCATCTGTCTACATGAGATAATTCAAGAGGCTACAAATACATGACAGCTCCATGACTAACACCCTCAAAAGACTACTGCGGTGGAAATGGCTTTCATTTAAATTCTGGGCCCTATTTTTTTTTTTTTTTCCAGTTGCATAGTTTCCTATAACTGGTTCCACTAACAGAGCTCACAGATTTTTTAGGCAATGATTTTCAAAGCAATCAATCATTTTTAAAAGTATAATGGGAAGTTAATAAACTTTTATACCCAGGTGTTAAGATCACTAGAGTTGTTTTTTTTTTGTCTAAACATATTTACAACACTGAATATTTGCACTAGTGCTTGTTAACTATTCCAATGCATGAGTTTTCTTTTTAAAATATTTTTAAAGTATGTGGTATATTTTGACAGTAGCAAAACATCAGAAATGTATGCAAAACTCACAAGCCCTTTACAAAAGCATAAGCTAGGTATGTTGACTAAACAATCCATTTGATGCTATTTGTCTCTGATGTTATGAATTAACTATTATTAGTGTATTAAGACTTACAGTATTCCAATGTACTGAACAACCTTCACAGGTGGTGCAAAGCTCCATCTTAAGGTTTGTTTTTTTTTTTTTCAATTAATCAAACGAACAGAAGTAAATGATGGATTATTTATTGAAAACTCACCCACATATAAGCAAAATTTGGGAGTATTAATATAATATGATAGCTAGGATACTCCTTTTCCACAACTGATTTTATACCAAATTTACCTTGATAGTTTCACATTAAGAAATTGAGATCCTTTAGCACTTACAATAGGCACATGCTACATGGTATACAATAGCTGTAGGTTTTCGAGATGTCATATAACAGAGAAACGATGATATGAATGAAAAGTTAAAAGGAAAAAAAACTCCAAACTAACAAAGATGAATCGATTCCAACAACTGAAAACCATATGGATAAAAATGAGGGTGTGTGAGGGCCAATCCTGCACTTCTACAAAATAGTTTCAAACTACTATTATGAGAAAAAACAAAACAAGTATTCAAACTGTAGATTTCAACAATCATTGATTTTATGGCCAACAGGACTCAGTGCAATCACCCAGTCTGATTTTTTCCTCAGACCAAGTATTTCCTGTAACAAATAAAAACTCCTTAAAGATGTACAAGCAAACCTTGTTAAATTATGTTAACTACTGATGAAGAATCTTTGCATAGTAGAGAATCTCCTGATCTCCTGAGGTAACTGCCTTCACTAGTAAAATGTTGTCGCTCCTTTCCTTGGTAAATCTGTCTAGTAGGTGTTCAACTCCAGGACTGCAGAAAGTTGTGTCATAAAAATGGGTTCTTTCCAACCAGGTAAAAGGAATGATTTTTTACCCTCACTCTACTTTCTGTATAGAAGATTATTGACTACGAAAGAGATGTAAAAGACTCAAAGCTGAGGAGAGGCTACTTCTGCTGTTTTATGAGTTTTGGACTAATCCTTTGATCTATTGCTACCATCTATCACAAGGAAACCACTGGGTGTAGAAATCATGACTGAACAAAGGGCTTGAGAGAACATACAACAAAACAGAGCAGAGGCAAAGAGCAAAAAAGCATAAGAGAAATAAATCTGCAGAATGGCAGCTTGGTTCCTGCACTCTACAGTGCAAGTAAGGACCTTCCCACTGAGACAGCCAGTTTGGCTTTTAAAGATTCTTAACACCAAAGTATGCCTGCCTGGAGTACAATTACTTTTCACTAACTGTAGGACCAGCTGGATCTTTTCTTTTCCAGGCTTAATCCAAGTCTGTTGACTCTGCCAAGCATTAGTTATATATTTAATTGCTAGTTAGCAACTTTGGCAAACTTTAGATCTGGTGCTTAAGACTGTAATTCCCCGTTGATTAACATTTTATGTACTGTTTATTCCTGCGCAGGATTGACTCCCTCATCTTACGACTTCTGAAATGGCAGAACTAGAAACTTTTATTACTAACCAATTTTAATCTACATGAAACAGCTAAGTAAGACACAAAGCAGCACGTTGCACATATAGTAAAAAGACATAGGACGGTTTCATTTTGTCAAGAAAAAAATATCAATTCAATCAGTTTCTCACACAATTTTCTGGGAACAGTGTAAGGGCTGTGAAAGCTGGTGTGGTCACCCCATACTTACTAGAAGATACCTCAATGTTACGTGTTTATTGTTAATAGCTTAAGTGGAGACAACTTACTCATACACACTCAAACCTGTAAACTATACTGGCTGAAAGGCTGAAATGTAAAACCTTCATGCTTTCTCTTAAATTTCAAAACCAGCAGAGTGAGTTAAGCACTATAACTGCATATAGTAATTAAAGTACTTAAGCATTTTTAGCCTCTCTCTCTTCCTTCACAAGATTCCCAACCTACTATATTCTTCCTCAGTGAGGAAGAAACTTCAATTAGAATTCAGCACCAAGATTAGCAACCATTCCCATTCAGATGTATATTAGTATCTCTCCAGACTGTATAATTTGGTAGGGCATTTTGATCTGCTCAAAACTGGTGATGAACAGTCCAGGGATTCTAATTTGCTGAAACCATTCTATCAGTGAAAAATGTCATACACACATGTCGCACAGGACCAGTGAGCATTTAAATCATTATTAAAGTGTTAAAGATAATATAAAATCTAGAAGAATTCTAAAAAAAATGTTACTGGGCTATTATTCCAAGGCCTTAAACACAGACACAATTCTCCGCTTGAGAACACAGTTCTTCAATTTACCCAAAATCAGAGCTCAATTAAACTAAGCATACACAGAAACAATTTTCTGAAGGTGTGCCAAAGGCTGTTCATACCAATTTGGTAGACCCAGAAAGTAAAATAAATAGCCATTTTTAGAAATTCACATTCAAAAACTGTCTCCACTATGCTCCGCTCCCTAATATATCTCATTTCTTCTTTCTCATGCTCAAACTGGAAAGGAAATACCAGTCTGTATCATTATAGTTATGCAGACCTAAACTTCCATGTCTAGCAGTAATGAACAGCATGAAAACTTTCAGGGAAAAAAGGCTCTGCTGAAGGGGTCGTATGAACCTTCTGTGGCTGAAGCAGTGTCTACTACTGCTCTGTCCTTTGTGTAAGTCCAGCCCATGCTCAAACCCAGAGATGACTCGGACATTTCCACAGAACATGGGATGGGAAAACTTGTATATAAATCGCATAGTAGTTAAAAAAAAACCCAATAAAATCAAAACAAAAAACAAACCAAACCAACCAAAAACCCCAAAACAAACCAAAGCAACAGCCCACACCATACCATAACTAACCCCCCCCCCCCCCCCCCAAATTGTAGACAAAGATGAGTTTGGATTTCAAGGTTAATAAATATAATGTTTGGAGACTGGAGGTTTTCCCGCAGGTAGCCTGTCATCCATCCTGTCATCAGTGCACTTGCCTCCTTTTCTTGCTTGCAACAATAAACAAATGATTTCTGTTTCCTAACTCTATTTACTTGTGCCTCTTGAGTTTTGCTAGTAACCGGCAGCAATGCAGATACATTTACTGAGGACCCTAACCACAGGGCAGGCAGACAGCAAAGAACATTTTAGACTTTAGACAAGCATTTTTAGCCTTTCTCTCTTCCTTCACAAGATTCCCAACTTATGAAAATTTGCTATGAAGAGCAGAATGGGCCCTGTTCCCAAATATGTAATCATTTTAAAGGACAGGGTATTTTGATAACAGGAAAACATTAATTGTTCTTGGTAAGTAGTGACTTTCATGATGTAGTATTTAATTAACAAACCTAATTTATATATGCATAGTGAGCCGTAACGGTGACGGTATGTTCCCAGAAGATTTTATTAGTAATTAAATTTTATAGCTTCCTAAGCATCTTTTTCCCTACGTTCACAGGAAATTATTGACAACTTTTTTTCTTTTTTTCGTTCCAGACTCTGTTGATAAACAGGATGCTCTGCCACAAACTACAAAAAAGACATAAAAATATTATGTTAATGCTTTTGGAACACATTACTTACGGTGGTGGCACAGTGGATGTCTTTCCATACATTGGCTTCCCTGGAGAGATCTGAGACTTCAAAAAGGTTATCAAGAATAACTTCCCCAATCATGTCATGTCTAGAAAATCTGTCAAAATCATAAACACTGAAATGCAATTTCCTGTTGCTGAGTTGATCATAGGCTACAGGAAACTGAAAGGTTTCATCAAAGACAGGATTTAATGTCTTTCTGTGAACTCGTGTCTGAAACTTCTTTTTCCTATCTGGGAGCAGATAAATCTTAACGTAGGGGTCAGATGTTCCTGTGAAGTCTTTAGCAGGCAGATCTAAGGCTTTGACAATTGTGACAGCCAGAAGTTCATTCTCATAATCATACCGGAGAGTGAAGTTAAGTTTTCCACATGTTTTCACATCTTGTTGCCCATCAGAATCCACAGACTTCTGTTTGTAGAGTTCCGGTTTTATTCTCCCAATGCTGGTTGTCGTCTCTCCCCTTTGCAAAATCGGGTCTGTCCCCATGTTAAAATCAACACTGGACACTTGCATCTGCCTTGGCAAGTGCCTCCTGAAAGAATTGTGCCTGCACACATACACACACACACAGAATGGGCCACGGTTATCTCTGGGAAAAGACTTGGCTATTACTAAGTAGAAAATACAAGAACAAAATAGTAAATGTTCCTCTCTTTAGAATAATTTAAAAATACTTTCCCTTCTCTCCCATTCCCCCCAGATACTTCTAGTGTTAAAATAGCCTTCAGAATAATCATTCAGAATAAACTTCTTAACTTCTTGGTCTGAGAGACACCCAGTGTCCTCACAATTCATATGCTTATAACCTTATTTTCAGGCTATGCAGCTGAAACTTAATTCAGGTTCTTTCACAGAACAAGCTGACAGTTCCAACATTGCTTGATCCCACTGTGCTAGGGCTTGAGTAAAGCACAGTCAGGCATAAAAAAATTACTTTCAGAATTGTATTTCCTGGTTTCTGGAGGCATTCCATGGTGGTTTTCTAATTAAATATTTACCAAGCTTCACACTGATCACTGTGAAAGGCACCTGAAAAGGCCATGCAGAACTATGTCTGGGGCTTTTCAGCACAGTTCTTTGCCATCCTACATTTTATATACACCTACACAGAGGTACAGGTTGCCTTCTCCAGTCCTACTTGGAATATTTTGTTCTGGCTGCAATACATTTCAAAGTTCTGGTCAACATTTTTCTGTGATAGCTTTTTTCCATCTGTTCTCACACTCTGCCGTGTGGTGCATTAGAAAGCTGATTCTTATGCCCCTAGCAAGAATCAGTATGTTTAAATCCTTGTAATTCTGAATTCAGTGTTGCATATGTATTTATCGTGACTCATGAACCTCAACGGAAATGTGTGCCTTTCCTACCAAGAGTGAAATCAAACCCCTGGCATGCAATACAGCCTTACAGCAGGATGACAACACTGGTCAAAAAGCTTTGTAGAATTAATCATCAGCAGATGGATTATGACCACACTGTCCGGTTTATTTTTTGGACATTATCATACTTCTTTGGTACTTCACTACCCCAACAATCTGTACTGAAAAAGCTCACTACCTCCTCCAGTGAGCATGCTTAGTTGCCATTAAAAAACAATTTAATTGTCAGACTTTCCTGTGCTTTTTGAAATCAATTGCTTATTAATGCCAAATGCAGCCTTGCCTTATTGCTTGGTTTCCCTGTGGTGCTGTGTTCTGAAAACAAGAGGTGTCACAGCTGTGTGTTTCTTTCTTTAAATCAGAAATGCAAATTGTCCATTTGAAAACAACCAGGACTGATTTCATAGATATTATTTGTACTTTTGCTGTAAGTGAAGTGGTTGCAGAAGGCATGAAGCACAAAACTACCACAGTTCAGCTGAGCAGAGATACAAGAGGGTAATCTGCAGCCATTAAATAAGAGACAAGAATGTTTCCCCTTTCAGCTGTTAAAGTACTGCTTGGTGCAGGGAGCAGTCCTAGCATAATACAAGACTAGGGGAGGGAGAATATTATAGTATAGATTTAAAGAGGCTCAAAAAAATCCATCTGTCCTGATCTCAAACACTCCTCTTGTAACACCTAACCTTCTACCTTTCATTTACAGACAGACAAGTTGAAAGATTTTCAAATGTTAAAATTCCCTGAATTCATAGTATATGATGGAATGGAGTGAGGAGTGGAAAATTCCTTACTCAGAAAAGTACAATGCTGTCCTCAGGGAGTTACAGGTCTGTCCTAGTGCCCTTATTGTCTAAAAAGCCCAGCCTCATATGTGTGTGAAACACAGGGAAGGAACTGAACTCCACCCAGAATGTAGTAGCAATACGTATTTGGGCATGCAGCAACTTAGGCACTAGCTCTCTAGTATCTTTGACTCATAATGAATTTCAGGGGGACTGTGTTGTTGCTACTTCTATCTGTGCTAATGAAACCTGTGCAGGCAGGCCTTCCTGAGTACTCCTCACACCTGCAGCTTTCGTACTGAGATAACCAGATAACCATGTTCAAACTCTGCCATAGACAAGCAGTGGAGAAAACTGTGTATGCAGGGGAAACAGTGAAGCTGACTGTATGACATTTCCAGTTTCAGTGAAAACAGATAATTGACAAAATCTCTTTTCCTCAACGTCTCTTGAATTTATAAAGATCTGGGTTAATGCTTGTAAATGCAACCTATAAAACCCAAATCCGTGATTTGTAAGGTACAAACCTTCTTTCAAATTTTCAAACTTTATGCACGCAAGATCTTTCAGTGAATGTAGTCATTGTTTCAAGATGACACTGAGTAAAACAGTGCAGCTATATGACTGTTCCCTGTGGGAAACAGCAGCACTTTTGCTCTAGCAAGCCAAAGTCCTAATTACATAGCGCCTAGTATCTGTTCTGAGTCACAGCATTTCACCAAGATAGCTAATTGGTCTCTTAATTATTAAGATGTTTCATTGTTGTCATGGCAACATATTTATCTTCCTTTGTTCTGCAGTAACAAAAGAATTAATGACTGTGATAACAAAGTAAAAGGATGTCAGGCAACCAGGTTGTGAAAATGCTTTGAAGCTACTAACATGTGCAAAGCAGGTACTTTAAACTCTACTGGTTCTTACAGATAACACTCCTGTAATAAACATACCTTCCATAATTTAGAACAAATACATTTTGAGTGGCAGTAAATCTGTATTTACATCTCTAATATGTGGAATACTGGTAGTATGAAGCTGATTTCTAACTCGGTAAGACTGCCATATGTACAAAAAAAAGAGAAGGATAAGATGATAATTTATGATATAATGTCCTGGGCTCAGCAGGAGCAGGAACCCAGCTGAACCTCAGCTGAACCCAGGACATATGACTTGAGATTTATGAGGTGTGGCTCTAATCTAGCTTTCCTAGATGACGTTAGACCAATCTTTTGGACTAAAACCAGGAATGGACAGAAGCACTTGCAGTATTTAAACAGAACAGAGGCTGCTTTCTCCTTCTTGCAGTCACTAAAGTCAACAGACGTGCTTGTTTTTCTTTAACCTTAGCATCCCCAAGAACCTCACTTTTGCTTTTGTGCCTTTGGGAACTGACTTACTTGACAAGCTCGTCTCCCACCTAATGCTAAAGAGCAAAAGGCAGGCCATTTGAAAATACATAATTTGAAGAAAGGAACATTATAGAAGCAATAAGCTATATCAGAGAATACTTTCACAAAGTACTGGGAAGAGTGCTTCTCAGTAACAGGGCAGAAATGTTTGTAAATGAATACCATTGGTGCAGGACTTCTTATATTGTAGTTTACTGGTTTATTGGTATCAAGGACTAAAGAGCTTGTTGTCTTTATTTTTAACAAGCAAGTCTTTTCATATTATCAGGAACTATGAAAATTATATAGTTATAACTAATCAGAAACACATAGTTTCCCTACATTAACATGCCTCCATGTTAAACGTGCAGTCTATAAAAAAATCAACAGGCACCTTTTATTATTGCTCTGAATGGCTTCTTAAAATTGTTATGCTTCAATTACAATGAGTTAATATGATTCTATTTCTTTTACTAAAATCCAGAAAGCTGGATTAAAAGTCCATCCTTCATCTCACACATGATGTTCTTGGCATCAATAATTAATATGGGCTATCAGAAGGTTAAGACTCCCTTAAGTCAGGCAGAGGTATAAAAAAATACCTTTACAAATATAGAAAGGACCACTTCTGAGTAATTTTAAAAACGGATCTTATTCTAAATATGTTTTGGAGCAAGGGTGCAGAGTTTTTCAGTAAACTGTAAAAGAAGTTGGTGTCCAAATATACTGCTATTATTTGGGTAAGGTGGGACAATAAGGGTTATTCAAAGCAAAGGAACTGTCCCTCACAAGGACAGATTTAACCCTGATAATCTAGAGAAGGTAAAAAGAGAAAGCTCCCTTACAAAGTTACCAACATATGCAAAAAGAGTAGGATTGATGGGAGCTTTAATTTCATAAAACTGTCCTTTGCTTCACAGATATTTTATACACATTTAGGTCCCAGTCCAAATCACTCTAGAGGTCTTTGGGAATATTTTCATACCCTGAAGTAGCTCTGGATCGTGTCCCTGAAACTTCGTACTTTCCCTATAGTACCACAGGGACTATTCAAGTCCTCTTGCCAGCCAGCTATTTCTTCTGTCTGCTCAGAAAGTCAGACTGTCTGATTACCTACAGATTTACCTGTTGGTACATAATGGATAAAACTCTTCCAATTAATATCCTATTAGGTACCAGCGAGTTGTGTAATACCCTTGTCATGCCAAGCTCTATCAGTTTTGGTCTCTCTTTGTCTGGTGTAACAGTTACAATTTCAAAGTTGTCCTCCCAGTGTCTTGGAAACATTCCTCAGAATGCCTTGGATACTCTGCTCTCTCCCTTAGCAGATGGATACAGTAGCTGGAGCCAGGCATAGCTGGGCAATGTGGCTTAAAGCCACCTGTACGGTCTCATAATTCAGGAGATGGTTCAGCTGTGGAAGTCAGCTAGACCTCCCCTGACTGGAGTGCTTTTGTTTTTGGGAGCCTCCTGTGGTTGCCTGTTGGCTATTCCACATTGTTGGAATAGCTGGGAAAAGCACTTCA